ATGATTTTGCCTTTTTAAAATTTGTTGTGGCTTGTTTTGTGGGCTAACATATGGTCCACCCTGAAGAGCTTTTCATATACTGATGAAAAAAGTGTGTATTCTGTAAAACTGTTGTAAAGAATGGTTTAAATCCATTTTGACTAATTGTCTGTCTAGATATTCTGTCTAATGCTGTGGGTGGGGTGCTGAAGTTTCCAACTATTACTATATTGAAGTCTACCCCTATTTTTAGATGTAGTAACATTCAATTTGTGTAACTGGTTCTCCAGGATTGGCCATATTATATTTAGAAAAATTTTATCCTCTTGCTAAATTGATCCTTTTATCATTATATAATGACTTTCTTTGTCTCTTTATACTGTTTTTGAGTTAAAGTCTGTTTTATACAATATAAATGTAGCCACCCTGCTCACTTTTGGTTTCCACTTACATGGAATTCATTTTCTTTCCCTTTACTTTCATTATACATGTTGTCTTTACAGAGAAGATAATTTTCCTACAGGCAGAATATAGTTGGTAATTTTTAAAAATCCATTCAGCCTATCTATATCTTGTCAGTGTAAAGTTTAACCTGTTTACAATCAAGGTTGTTATTGACATGTGAGATGGGTCTCCTGAATACAGCATACCAATGGGTCTTGACTCTTTATCCAATTTGATAGTCTGTGCCTTTTAATTGGAGCATTTACCCATTTACATTTAAGGTTATTATTATTATGTGTGAATTTGATCCTGTCATCACGCTGCTATTTGGTTATTTTGTGCACTAATTGATGCAGTTTCTTCATAGTGTTATTGGTCTTTATATTTTGGTGTATTTTTGCAGTGCCAGATACCAGTTTTTCCTTTCCATATTTAGTGCTTCTTTCAGGATCTCTTGCAAGGCAGGCCTAGTGGTAATAAAATACCCCAGCATTTGCTTGTCTGGAATGTTTTTTATTTCCAGAATAAAAATGTCATTTTGGAGAAATGTCAATTTGAGTAATTTACCCCCATTTTAATTGGGTTATATGTTTTCTTCCTCTTGAGTGACTGTGTGAAGAAAAGGACATCTTTTACATTGTTGGTGAGAATGTAGATTTGTGCAATCATTATGAAAAATAGGATGGAGGTTTCTAAGGAAGATAAAAATAGAACTACCATATACTCCACATCACTTTTCTGGGTATATACCCAAAGGAAATAAAATCACTACTTTGTTAGGATATCTCCACTCCCATGTTCATTGCAGCACTACTCACAATAGCCAAAATATGGAAAAAATAGGTTTCCACTAATAGATTAAAGGATAAAGAATATGTGAATTACATATACATTGAAATATTATTCATCCATAAAAAGGAGGGTATCTCAGGAGGTGGAGGTTGCAGTGAGCAGAGATCGCACCACTGTGCTCCAGCCTGGGTGACAGTGAAAATCCATTTTTTAAAAAATCCATAAAACAAACAAACAAACAAAAAACAGAGGGTATTATGCCATCAACTACAAAATGGATGGACCTGAAAAGAGAATATACTAAGTGCAACAAGTCAGACACAGAAAGAAAAATGTATGATCTCACTTACACGTAGAATATGAAAAATAAGGTAAAGTATGTAGAGATAGGGATTGAAATAGTGTTTACAAGGGCTGAGGTGTGAGGGGTGGGAATAAGTGGGATACAAAGCCTATATGTAGGATGAACAAGTTGAAGGATCTAATGTACAACAGGAGAACTGTAATTAATAAGTGTATTATATTTTTGATAAATGGATAGATTATATGTGCTTTTGCCAAAGGGGGAAGTGGGTAACTTTTCCCATTTGTAAGATGATAGATATGTTAATTGGTTCCACCATAGCATTTTATATATCTCTATATATCTTTATATATACATACATATATATCTTATACCATCATGTTGCTTTTCTTAAATATACACAATAAAATTTATTTTTAAAAGCCAAACAATTGTATATACATTCCATAAAATATTATTTAGCAATAAAAAGGAACAAACTATTAATATACACAGCAACTTAGATGAATATCTATAGAGTTTCTGAGTTTATAAAAGCCAACCTGAGAAGGATATGTATCATATTATTCTTCTAGAAAGAGGGATATCTGTGGAGATGGAACTGTTTGCTCTCTTGATTGTGATGATGAGCACACTGAATTACACACATAATACTGTTATAGTACTACATGCATATACAGATAAACTGACTGGGGAAATATTAATAAAATCAGTGGATTGTATCAGTATCAAGATCCTGGTATTATACTTCATTGTACCATACTAGCATCTTGATGTTGATACTATTATACTACAGTTTTGTAAAATATTACTGTTAGGAGAAGCAGGGTAATTAATATATAATTTCTCCTTGTGTCATTTCTTGCAACTGCATGTGAATCTATAACAATCTTAAAAAATATTTCAATGAAAAACAGAGATATAGATGAATGGAATGGAACAGAGACCTTGGAAGCAATGCCACACATCTACAACCATCTTGTCTTTGACAAACCTGACAAAAACAAGCAATTGGGAAAGGATTCCCTGTTTAATAAATGGTGTTGGGAAAACTGGCTAGCCATGTGCAGAAAGCAGAAACTAGACCCCTTCCTGACACCTTACACTAAAATTAACTCCATATGGATTAAAAGCTTAAACATAAGACCTAACACCATAAAAACCATAGAAGAAAACCTAGGCAAAACCATTCAGGACATAGGCATAGGCAAGGACTTCATGACTAAAACACTGAAAGCAATGGCAACAAAAGCCAAAATAGACAAATGGGACCTAATCAAACTCCACAGCTTCTGCACAGCAAAAGAAACAGTCACTAGAGTGAATCGGCAACCAACAGAATGGGAAAAACTTTTTGCACTCTACCCATATGACAAAGGCCTAATATCCAGAATCTACAAAGAACTAAAGCAGATTACAAGAAAAAGAAAACCCCATTCAAAAGTGAGTGAAGGATATGAGCACTTTTCAAAAGAAGACATATATGAGACCAACAAACATATTTTTAAAAATACTCATCACTGGTCATTAGAGAAATGCAAATCAAAACCACACTGAGATATCATCTCATGCCAGTTAGAATGACGATCATTAAAAAATCTGGAGACAACAGATGCTGGAGAGGATGTGGAGAAATAGGAACACTTTTACACTGTTGGTGGGTGTATAAATTAGTTCAACCATTGTGGAAGACAGTGTGGTGATTCCTCAAGGATCTAGAAATAGAAATTCCATTTGACCCAGCAATCCCATTACTGGGTATATACCCAAAGGATTATAAATCATTCTATTATAAAGACACATGCACGCACATGTTTACAATAGCAAAGACCTGGAACCAACCCAAATGCCCATTAATGATAGACTGAACAAAGAAAATGTGGCACATATACACCATGGAATACTATGCAGCCATAAAAAACAGTGAGTTTGTGTCCTTTGTAGGGACATGGATGAATCTGGAAACCATCATTCTCAGCAAAGTGACACAAGAACAGAAAACCAAACACCACATGTTCTCACTCATAGGTGGGTGTTGAACAATGAGAACACATGGGCACAGGGAGGGGAACATCACACACTGTGGTATATTGGGGCGGGGGGTGGGAGGCTAGGGGAGGGATAGCGGGGGATGGGGAGATTGAGGTGGGATAACACTGGGAGAAATGCCTGATGTAGTGATGGGGAGATGGAGACAACAAACTACCATGGCGTGTGTGTACCTATGCAACAATCCTGCAAGATCTGCACATGTACCCCAGAACTTTAAAGTACAATTTAAAAAAAGAAAGAAAATGTTCTATTAGCTAAATGAGTTAATGAATTAAAGTTGTAATTTTAAAGGCTTAAACTCCCCTGCGAAAATTTCAGAGTATGCCCCCTTTTGTTTGTTATGAGCTTAATAGCAATTCTTTTCCTGGACCACATGCACACGTTCACTAATTTGTTTAGTAAACAATGACTGATTATCTACTATGTTGCAAGCACTGTCTGCAAGCACTGCACTGTTGCTTGGGCAATGGTGCTGCTGTGTTTCTCCCTAAGTCTATTTGAAAAATAGTTAATTGTTTCATTTTGGGAGTAATGGTGTCAGCCACAATATTTGGGCAAAGAGCAAAGGAGAGAAAAAATGGAATTAGCTAATGTTAAAATCAAAGCCTCACTGAAAACAGTAATATGTATTGAAGCAGAGAATTGTCCTCAAGGAGAGAAGACATAATCCATATTGAAATGGTACTGAAACACTTCATTGTACTGTATTTAAAATGTTTGGAGAAAGCTTGGAACAAATAAAGCCCTAAAAAGGTCTTTCAAATTGAAAAAAATAAATGAAAAAGGTGGGAAAGTTATGTCATGCAAACTATAAGAAACCTGGAACAGTCATGTTAATATTTAAAAATATGTAATTCAAAATGAGCATCACTAGAGACAGAGGCATAGTTCATAACAATAAAATAAACAATTCATCTGGATTCCTGAAACTAGCATGGAAAAGATCCTCCAATGTGCTATATATAAATGAATAAAGAAGCCCAAGGAAATAAACTCCTCCTATATAAGCTGCCTTTCTCCTCTATTTACATTTCATAGAATTTAAATTTATGTGAGTTCCTCATGTGACTGAACCTGAAGCATAACGTCAATTAACAAAAGACAGTAATGCCATCACATTCCACTTTGCTTTAATGAAAAGCAAAGCACTGTAATAGGGATTTGAATTTATTCACCATTTTAATCTAAATTCATTACTAAAGCAGAAAAACTCTGGCTTTCTCTTCTTTTCATGGGAAAATTATAAAGCAGTTTACTTTTGTGTCTCTCAAATTTCACTTCCTTGAAATAACTGAACACAGTTCAACAGATTTCTTTTATTTAGAGAACACATACATGCCAAAGTCCAATGTTAATTTCATGAGTCACATGAGGACAAGCATATTTAGAGAGTAAACCTTTAAACAGATTGTTTTGTCAATAGCTGGAAGCATCTCTGCTAACCTCCTGATCTCAAAAGAACTGAGGAAGCTGTTTCCACTAGGGCTCTGTTGTAGTAGTGACGTTGGGGCCCATGGATGAGAAATTGATGCAAGGATTTGATCAAGCTTAATTTGAACTAATAAAAGGAAATATTTTCTTCCTTTGAACTTATATTCGTAAAGCAGTTGTGCCTCCTCTTGGAGGTCACGTGTTCACAATCAATGGCCTTTGAGGAGCTCTTGAATCAAGTTGGAGGCCTTGGGAGATTTCAGATCCTCCATCTGGTTCTTATTCTTCCGTCTTTCCTGGTACTAATCCCTCATATACTGCTGGAGAACTTCACTGCATTCATTCCTGGTCATCGCTGCTGGGTCCACATCCTGGACAATAATACCGTATTTGATAATGACACTGGAATCTTCAGTGAGGATGCCCTCCTGAGAATCTCCATCCCGCTGGACTCAAACCTGAGGCCAGAGAAGTGTCGTCGCTTTGTCCATCCCCAGTGGCAGCTTCTTCACCTGAATGAGACTATGCACAACACAAGTGAAGCAGACACAGAGCGCTGTGTGGATGGCTGGGTGTATGACCGAAGCTACTTCCCTTCAAACATTGTGACTAAGGTAAAAGTTCCTGTTAACCTGTTCTGGATACGCAATCCAGGTGTTTAGAAGAATAAAACATGCTTTAACCCTCTAGTTACTGTGTAGATGCTATAGTCACCTCTCAGTCACTCTTTTGGAAAATAGTTATTTTTTTTTTTTTGTTGTTGTTGTTGTTATTATTATTTATTTATTTTTTGAGATGGAGTCTCGCTCTGTCACCAGGCTGGAGTTACTCCTGACCTCAGGTGACCCACCCGCCTTGGCCTCCCAAACTGCTGGAATTACAGGTGCTAGCCACTGCGCCTGGCTGCTTATTTTTTAATTGCCAGCCACTTGCATCAAATATGAGGCAATGAACTCAACCAACCAGATATAAATACAGCTATCACAAAACTAGTGTGAAGAGAAGACTAATGATTAGAAAAATATTCTTCCTGGTCACTTGTTCTCAGCCTAAGTTGCAAATTGGAAACACCTGTGTTATTTTTTAAATCTGCATGCTTTGGCTACTGTTAGAGAAGCAAATCAGAGTCGATTTCATGCTGGCATTAATGTTTCAAAAAAGTCTCAGGCCGGGTGCGGTGGCTCACGCCTGTAATCCCAGCACTTTGGGAGGCCGAGGCGGGTGGATCACGAGGTCAAGAGATCGAGACCATTATGGCCAACATGGTGAAACCCCGTCTCTATATAAAAAATACAAAAATTAGCTGGGCATGGTGGCGCGTGCCTGTAGTCCCAGCTACTCGGGAGGCTGAGGCAGGAGAATTGCTTGAACCCGGGAGGCAGAGGTTGCAGTGAGCCGAGATCGCGCCACTGCAGTCCAGTCTGGTTTTGGGTGAGAATTTCCAGCAAAAGCCATGCTTAAGCCAAGATTTGAATGGTATAGGTAAGAAAATGTAGTAAAAAGAGGCTAGGGGCCGGGCGCGGTGGCTCAAGCCTGTAATCCCAGCACTTTGGGAGGCCAAGGCGGGTGGATCACGAGGTCAAGAGATCGAGACCATCCTGGTCAACATGGTGAAACCCCGTCGCTACTAAAAATACAAAAAATTAGCTGGGCATGGTGGTGCGTGCCTGTAATCCCAGCTACTCAGGAGGCTGAGGCAGGAGAATTGCCTGAACCCAGGAGGCGGAGGTTGCGGTGAGCCAAGATCGTGCCATTGCACTCCAGCCTGGGTAACAAGAGCGAAACTCCGTCTCAAAAAAAAAAAAAAAAAAAAAAAAAAAAAAAAAAAAAAAAGAGACTAGAGAGTATGTCCATTGAAAGCTAATGCAGCAAGTGAACATTAAGAAGTCAAAAGCTGCTGTGAAGCTACGTTGTATTGGTTTCCTTCTCTTCCAGTGGGACATGGTATGTGATTATCAGTCACTGAAATCAGTGGTTCAATTCCTACTTCTGACTGGAATGCTGGTTGGAGGCATCATAGGTGGCTATTTCTCAGACAGGTGAGTGTCTCCAGATCAGGGTTATCATTACTCTGCAGTGTTTTTACCAGCTTACAATGAATTCTTCCACAAAGAAGTGTTATTGAGTTATAATACGCAATTTATGCTGTTGGTGCTGCTTTGTTCCCCAGAGAGCTAGATACAGAAATGAATTACAGTGAATTTAGTGAGGACCATTTTGTTGCCACAGAGATCTCTAAACAGCGTCTCAGTATAGGATACTGAAATGACATCTCCATCGGACTAGGGGAATTTCAAAACAGAATCTAGAAAGTAGACACCATGATACGTAGTTTAGAAGGGGGTGACTGAGTTACCTACAGGAAGAGAAGGGAAGGTGCTTCAAGATAGGAAATTCAGCCTCTTTAAAGACACAAATATATGAAATGATGTGTCATATCTGAAATGGCCAGGGATGTTGTGGTAGGTCCCTCCTGGACTCTGTGAGCTAAATGCTTGTGGATTTTCAGCCTGGTTGTCATTATCACAATTACCCCACTGTAATGAGTAGGTGTGTTAATCTGTTCTCATTCTGCTAATAAAGACATACCTAAGACTGGGTAATTTATAAAGGAAAGAGATTTAATCAACTCACAGTTCCACATGGCTTGGAGCCCTCAAAATTTTGGTGGAAAGCAAATGAGGAACAAATTCATGTCTTAAATGGTGGCAGGCAAGAAAGTGTGTTCAGGGGAACTCCTCTTTATAAAGCCATCAGATCTCATGAGACTTATTCCCTCTCAGGAGGACATCATGGGAAAAAACCAGCTCCATGATTTAGTTACCTCCCACTGGCTCCCTCCCATGACACATGGGGATTATTACAATTCAACATGAGATTTGGTTGGGGACACAGCCAAACCATAACAATATAAATTTTAAGTAAAATTTTTTTTAGTTCTGTGAAGAATCTCAATGGTAGTTTAATAGGAGTAGCTTTAAATCTATAAATTGCTTTGGCCATGTATTAGTCCATTCTCATGCTGCTATAAAAAAACTCCCTGAGGCTGGGTAATTTATAAAGAAAAGAGGTTTAATTGACTGACAGTTCGGCATGACTGGGGAGACCTCAGGAAACTTACAATCATGGTGGAAGGGGAAGCAAACACATTCTTCTTCACATAGTGACAGGAAAGAGAAGTGCAGAGTGAAGGGGGTGAAAGCCCCTTGTAAAACTGTCAGATCTCATGAGAACTCATTCACTATCGTTAAACCAGCAGGGAGGTAACACGTTCATGTTTCAATTGATTCAATTACGTCTCACCAGGTCCCTCCTGAAATACATGGGGATTATGGGAACTACAGTTCAAGATGAGACTTGTGTGAGGATACAGCAAAAGCATTTCAGGGCATTATAGTCATTTTTACAATTTTGACTCTTTCTGCTCATGAGCATGTAATGGTTTTCAATTTTTTGTGTCATCTTTGACTTCTTTGAGTAGTTTTGTAGTTCTCCTTGTAGACATCTTTCACTTCACTAGTTAGCTGTATTCCTAGGTGTTTTATTCTTTTGTGGCAATTGTGAATGGGATTGCATTCCTGATTTGGCTCTCAGCTTGACTGTTCTTGGTGTATAAGAATGTTAGTAACTTTTGCACATTGACATTCTATCCTGAGACTTTGCTGAAGTTGTTTATTAGCTTTAAAAGCTTTTGGGCTGAGACTATGGGGGTTTATAGATACAGTATCATGTCATCTGCAAACAGGGATAGTTTGACTTCCTCTCTTCCTATTTGGATGCTCTTTTTTTCTTACTCTTGCCTGATTGCCCTACCTATGACTCCCAATACAATGTTGAATAGGAGTGGTGTCTTGTGCCAATTTACAAGGTGAATGCTTTGAGCTTTTGCTTATTCAATATGATGTTGGTTGTGGGTTTGTCGTATATGGCTCTTTTTCTTTTGAGGCATGTTTCTTCAATACCTACTTTATTGAAGGTTTTTAATATGAAAGGTTGTTAAATTTTATCAAAAGCCTTTTCTTTATCTATTTAGGTAATTGTGTGGTTTTTGTCTGTGGTTCTGTTTATGTGATGAATCAGATATACTTATTTACAAATATTGAACCAAGCTTGCATCCCAGGGGTAAGACATAGTTGATCATGATGAGTAATCTTTCTGATATGCTGCTGAATTTGGTTTGACACTATTTTGTTGAGGATTTTTGCATTGATTTTCACCAAAGATATTGGCCTGTTTGAAGTTTTTAAATCTCTGCCAGATTTTGGTATCAGGATGATGCTGGTCTAATAGAATGAGTTAGGAAGGAGTCCCTCCTCCTTAATTTTTTGGAATAGTTTCAGCAGGAATGGTGCCAACTTTTTTTTTTTTTTTTTTTGTACTTCTGGTATGATTCAGCTGTGATTCTGTTTGGTCCTGGGCTTTTATTTATTCATTTATTTTGTTGGTGTTGTTGTTGCTGTTGGTAGGCTTGTTGGGTGTTTTACTGTAGTGATTAGATATGATTCCTCTATCTTTATCCTTTGTTTATTGGCTCTTCTAGTACACTTTAAGGTTTTAGTTGCTTTCATAATGGTAATCACCATCTCTTTACTTCAAGATGGAAGATTCCCTAGATAATATCTTTGGCTGTTTCTGTGGTGATAATTTCCTTAGTTTTTGCTTCTCTGTAAAAGATTTCATATTTCCTTTATTTCTGAAGCATAGGAGAATTTTGCTGGGTATAATATTCTTTTCTGGCAGTTTTTTCTTTGAGGACTTTGAATGTATTATCCCACTTTCTCCTGTCCTCCAAGGTTTCTGCTCAGAAATTTGCTGTTAGTCTAATAGGAATTCCTTTATATGTGACTTGGTTCTTTATTCTTGCTGCTTTTAGTATTTTTTCTTTGTCTTTGCTTTTTTGACAATTTGACTATAATGTGCCTCATAGGGGACCTGTTTGAGTTGAATCTATTTGGCATTCTTTGAGTTTCTTGTACCAGGATGTCCATCCTTCTCCCAAGACTTGGGAATTTTTCAGCTATTATATCAAAAAATATATTTTCTAACCTTTTCCCTTCTCCTGGAATTATCATAATGCAAATATCTATTCACTTAAAGGTGTTTATAAATTCTGTAGGCTTTCTTCATTTTTTTTAATTCTTTTTCTTTCATCTCCCTCTGCTATTTTTAGCAAACTGTCTTTGAGTTTAGAAATTTCTTCTACTTGGTCCAGTCTATGGTTGAAGCTGTCAGTTGCATTTTTTTATTTTATTCATTGAATTATTCAGCCTTAGGATTTCTGTTTGATTCTTTTTTATATCTATATCTTTGTTAAATTTCTCATTCAAATTATATATTGTTTTTGTAATTTTATTGAATTGTCTATCTATAGTCTCTTGTATCTCACTGAGTTTGTTTAATATTGTTATTTTGGATTGTTTTTCTGGCATTTTGTATATTTCTCTATAATTGGGATCTATTATAGGAAAATTATTGTGGTCCTTTAAAGGTGTCAGATTTCTTCCTTTGTAATGTTTGATTTGTCTCTACATTGATTTCTTTGCACTGAGAGGAAAGTTTGCCTCTTACAAGTTTATGAAGAGGCTTCATAAGGAAAAACTTATTTGTATGAATGGGTCTTGCATTGTCACTTTTGTGGGGTATGTTAGGCTTTGGTTCTAGGTGGGTAGTATACTTTCTGTGTAGTTTCTTCAGCTTTAACTTAGGCTAGTGACATGTACTAGTGTCTAAGCAGCATAGGCTGCAACAGTTTGTTATGGTAGTAAGATTTTGCTGGGGTTCAGCTTGCCAGGCTGTTTCTCAGGAGTGCATGCTGGGGTGTGTGCATGCACATGTGGTTTGGCAAAGTTAAGCCTAGGGTTAGACCTATGGAGGTGTTACTCTGTTCTAGATGGAACACAGAGGTCTATAAACCCAGATCAACAATAAGAGTCCAAGTTTCTTGATGAGAGCCCCTTAGGCAACCCAGCAGAAACTTTGATGCATTGTTCAACTGACATATCTTATATATAAGCTTAGCCTTGGCCTGCATGATCTTAGAGACCCAAATATATATTTAACTCTCTTGTAGTTCATATACTATGCAGACTCTCTACTATGCTAGATATGTATATTCATATAGTAGACACTTATTACATATTACAATTCCAACATTGTAGCTTCTTTTATACAGTATCGGTTGGTATCAGATGTCTTCTTGTTATTAAATGATGAAATTTTGATATTGTTAGTCTGTGTTATAAACAGGGAGGATTACTTCTGAGGATATTCTTGTTGCTGATTTAGCTCTTGATCTTTCAGGATTTCAAGGACACAAAATAATTTGTTAAAATATTATCAAATTTTAGAGTAAGCTTTCATTTTCTTAAAGTTATTATTGCTGTCATAATCTAATGTGACTCTCTGTTTCTCAGGTTTGGGCGAAGATTGGTTCTCAGATGGTCTTTCCTTCAGCTTACCATCGCTGACACCTGCACTGCCTTTGCCCCCACCTTCTCTGTTTACTGTTTACTACGCTTCTTGGCAGGCTTTTCTTCCATGAACATCATATCAAATAATAATATGCTCAGTAAGTCAACCATTGTGATCTTCTCTATTTTTTGAGCCTGGGATCTGAAACTGAAATTTTATCTTTATTTGACTTTAATATGCTCTATGGGTTTCTTTCAGCTACCGAGTGGATAAGGCCCCAGTCTAAAGCCCTGGTAGTAATACTGTTATCTGGTGCCCTTAGTGTTGGACAGATAATCCTGGGAGGCTTGGCTTATGTCTTTCGAGACTGGCGAACCCTGCATGTGGTGGTGTCTTTACCTTTCTTTGTCTTCTTTCTTTTCTCAAGGTAGGAGCCTTTTCTCTTACTTTGTTTTCTGGGGTCCTGGGATAAAAATGAATATTGAATAAGAACATATTGATTTTCTTAATCCCACTTTTGGACCTAGGCTGATGTTCTCATCTGTTCACTCTGTGCAGCTTGAGAAACAGAATGGTGAATAGCAGTGACTGCTGCCTGGGAGTTCTGACGTAAAATTCAAAAAGCCTTTTAGAGTGGACATAGAAAAATTCCAATTTTGTTTTTCTTACTAAAAATATAGACCCAAATGTTTCAAAAGGAATATCTCTGATTCATTTTTACCTGGAAATAAATAAGGCTATGGTGATGTATATAATGTTTTTCACTTTTACAGGTGAAATTGGATAAAAGCAAGAGACCACAAGTGTATTCATACAGCTCTTTGGCAATAGAGCAGCACAGTTTCGCCAGTACTAGAAGTTGGTATGCAGTTTGAGTGATTTATAGCATGTGTTCAGCATTTCCTCCTCCATTAGATAACTTTAACAAACATTTATTTGTGGCAAACTTCTTCTCTACATTTAAAAACAATCTAGGGGAGCATCAGATTCAGTTAGAGATTACTGGAACATGAGATATTCATTCCTACAGATTTAACACAGTGAGATGAATTTTGATAGAGTAGAGCATAATCCATGTCAGACTCATCCATTATCTTATTCCATCTTCATAACAACCCAAAAGGAATATAGCACTGCTGTTTTCATTTTATTGATAAGGAAACAGAAGCAGATGTAAATGAATGACTCACTTGCGTACTAAGTTACCAACATAGCTGCTAGTGGCAGGAGTACTTCCAACCGTTGAGCAGCTTTAAGCTTACATAATTTGAAGGATTATGTTTTTTAAAGAATACATATCATCGACATAAACTTGCTAGAACTCATGCCAAGCTTTGGAAAGAACTTATGCATGTAGGGAGCCTAAAGCTTAAGCTTCACAGACTTCTTTGAAAATTTTCCTGTGATCAAACAAAGAAGCGATTTAACTCCAAAGTCTGTGTTCCTAAACCATGAAGGTGTGTGCTGCAGGATCGTGGCCATGTTTTCCTAGCATTTGTATAATAAAATATGACTTTCTATTTCCAACCCAACTAGGTGGTGGGTAATAAATAGAAGGCAAAAGGCACCCATAGCCAATAATCATATGACTAACAAGAAGGACAGAGATAACTGCATTGTGTGTTTTCCTTTTATCAGGTGGCTGGTTGAATCTGCTCAGTGGTTGATAATCACCAATAAACTAGATGAGGGCTTAAAAGCACTTAGGAAAGTTGCACGCACAAATGGAATGAAGAATGCTGAAGAAACCCTGAACATAGATGTGAGTAGGAAAGGGAAGGCGGTTGCTGGGTTGAAGAGATGACATCAGCTGACATCTGTCTTCTCCTTGTCGAGATAGACAAACTGCTTCTAAGAAGGGTAGCTAGCTGAGAACACAAGCTCAGTTCTCATTTTTTCAAGGCCATCTTATTTAAAAGAAGCTTTGGGAATTATGTAACTATCTCTTCCTTTAGTTCACTTCCTGATCTGAATCTATAACCTATGCATCCTTGTGGATACACTACGCCCCTTTGGGACCTCATTTTCAAATATCTTTATCGCTGCATAATTTCCTGAAGGCTCCTTTAATATTCTCATTTATTTTCCTACACACCACTTTCACTCCTGTCATTGTGTATCATATATCACACTTGAGAGGAAGGGAACACATTTCCCTTGTCCTACTGAGTGCCAGTTCTCATCACAATGCCTGGGGTGATGTTGGTAAATGATTCATGTTTGTTATTGAAGGTTGTGAGATCTACCATGCAGGAGGAACTGGATGCAGCACAGATCAAAACAACTGTGTGTGACTTGTTCCACCACCCCAGTATGCGCAAAAGGATCTGTATCCTGTTATTTATGAGGTGCACATTACAGTACATGAGGGGCATTAAAAGTGTGGTGACATGAATGGATTTTTTTTATTTCAAAGGTTACAACAGTACTCTGTGTGTGTGCGCGTGTGTGTGTGTGTGTGTGCAGGTGCGCAGGGCTGATTTCTATGCAAAAGATGAAAAAAATATACAGATAACTGCTATGTTTGAAGGTAGGCAGAGGGTTATGTGGGCTCACATGGGCTGGTTACACAGTGAGGAGTCAGCCCTATCATCCTAGTCTCATCACTGGCAATTGATAGTGAGGATAAATTTTGATGTTTAATTTTCTTAATTTTTTTCAATTCTGCTTGAAACAAATCTTAGTAATATGCACAGATTATGAATGTGTAAAACTCCAAGAAAGAAAGAAACAGAAAGAAAAAAAGAGAGAGAGAGGGAGAGGGTGGGAGGGAGGAAAGGAGGGAGAGAGGGAAAGGAAGAAAAGAAGAATGAAGGAAGGAAGAAAAGGAGGGAGGGAAGGAAGGAAGGAAGGGAAGGGGAGGAAGGAAAGGAAGGTAGTAAGGAAGGAAGGAAGGAAGGAAGAAAGGAGGGAGGGAGGGAAGGAAGGAAACAGAAAATGTAATCAGCACCCAGATTAAGATGTAGAAAAACCTTGTGCATCATCTATGGCAATAACAACTTCCCTGCCAAAAAAACCTTAAGAACAGTCTGGCCTCCATCACCATGTAGGATTGTTGCCTGATTTTGACCTTCACAAACTGTAAAAGAGAACATGGCTCTGTTTGTCCCAGGCTCCTTTTCCTCAACTTTACTTTCTCAAGATTTATCAGTGTGTTGCATAGAACAGTAGGTTGTTCTCCTTCTCAGTGTTTCAGCATTCCAAAAGATGAATACGGTACAATTTCTCTATCTACTTCATTGTTGGGAGACTTTTACTTATTTCCCGCTTGGGGTGTTCACGCATGGGCTTCTGTAGACAATCTTTTACATTGCCTCTTGGGGATATGTAAGTACTTACTTTGGTAGTGTCAGTAGAAAAAAATTTAAATATAATTCTGGGCTGAGAGGACTCAAGATGGCACTGTGAGAATAACCCAGGATTGGAGCTCGTCTCATTGAATCCGCAAACGGTGAGTCAGAGCGGCATTTCCAGACTGATCTTTGTTGCCCACAGAATGGGGAAACTCCCAAGTATAAAAAAGACACGGGACGCCAGGCAGTAGGTCTGCTTGGCGAACCGGCAGCCGGGGCGGCGGCGGCCAGCCCTACCCAGCAATCCCCACAGGGCGCGCTTGTCCGGGTGCCCTGTTGAACCGGCAACCTGAGACTTGAGAGGGCTGGACTTGAGACTGAACGAGACTTGGACAGTAGGCCAGCCCAGGGGATTGCAGGGATTGGGATACCCAGTGGGATGAACAAAACCGTGATTTCAAACTATCCCGAGCAGATGGTCCGAGACGCTCTGTGGGGGAGGGGCGTCCACCACTACCGAGGCAACCCGCCCCAACTGAGATACATGCCCACTGCTGACGCAGCCAGCCATTGCTGAGGCAACCCACCCCAACTGAGATACACGCCCATTGCTGACACAGCCAGCCGTTGCCGAGGCAACCCGTCCCTACTGAGATACACACCCACTGCTGACGCAGCCTGCCGTTGCTGAGGCAACACGCTACAACGAAGAGACTCCGCCGCAGGGCATGGCAGAGACCACAGCAGAGCCAGCAGGAACAGCGCGAATCACACAACAGCAGGGCAAAGCCTCGGCAGCCAAACAGTGGCTAGTTTGCCTTCTAGCTGGGCAGGACACCTGATCGGACATCCAAAAATAAAGCCCAAACCCCTCAACACAGAGCATTTGAGAAAAAAAAAAAGGGGGTTTTTAATGAGCTCTGTTGCAGCAGAATCAAACATAGCAGCCTAACAGCCCTGAATGAACAACAGAGTGCAGAGCTCAGCAATTAAACTCCTATAAAGTATAAACTGTCTCCTCAAGCAGCTCCGTGACCCCTCTATATCCAAAAGACTGACATTAGGCAGGCATCATCCTGGGACAAAGAGAGCAGAAAAAGAAACTGGTAGCATCCCTCGCTGTGCCACAGCTACTAGAGGTGCACCCCAGACAAGCAGGGTCTGGAGCGGACCTCAGCAGTCGTACAGTGAAGGGGCTAGACTGGTAGAAGGAAAACCAAGCAACAGAAATACTTCATCATCAACATTCTGGGTGTCCACTCAGAGACCCAAATGAAAAGTCAGCAACTACGCAGACGACCAGCGGACAAATCCACAAAGATGGGAAGAAACCAGCGCAAAAAGGAGGAAAACACCCAAAACCAGAACACCTCGCCTCCTAGAAAGGACCAAAACTCCTCACCAGCAAGAGAACAAAGCTGGACGGAGAATGACTGTGACGAAATGACGGAATTAGACTTCAGAAGATGGATAATGAGAAACTTTTGTGAGCTAAAAGATCATGTATTAAATCAATGCAAAGAAACTAAGAACCTTGAAAAAAGATTCGAGGAAATGATAACAAGAATGGATACCTTAGAGAGGAATATGAATGAATTAAAGGAGCTGAAAAACACAATACGAGAAATTCACGAAGCAAACACAAGTTTCAATAGCCGAATTGACCAAGCAGAAGAAAGAATATCTGAAGTCGAAGACCAACTCAATGAAATAAAACGAGAAACCAAGATCAGAGAAAAAAGCGCAAAAAGGAATGAACAAAGTCTCCAAGAAATGTGGGACTATGTGAAAAGACCTAACCTACGTTTGATAGGTGTACCAGAAGGGGACGAAGAGAATGAATCCAAGCTGGAAAATACTCTTCAGGACATCATCCAGGAAAATTTCCCCCACCTAGCAGGACAAGCCAACACTCAATTGCAGGAAATACAGAGAACACCACAAAGATATTCCACAAGAAGAGCAACCCCAAGGCACATAATCGTCAGATTCAACAGGGTTGAAATAAAGGAGAGAATACTAAGGGCAGCCAGAGAGAAAGGTTGGGTCACCCACAAAGGGAAGCCCATCAGACTCACAGCAGATCTCTCGGCAGAAACACTACAAGCCAGAAGAGAGTGGGGGCCAATATTCAACATTCTTAAAGAAAAGAACTTTCAACCCAGAATTTCATATCCAGCCAAACTGAGCTTCAGAAGTGAAGGAAGAATAAAATCCTTTGCGAACAAGCAAGTACTCAGAGATTTTGCCACCACCAGGCCTGCTTTACAAGAGCTCCTAAAAGAGGCACTACACATAGAAAGGATCAACCGGTACCAGCCATTCCAAAATCACACTGAATGCTAAAGAGCTTCAACATAATGAAGAATCTACAACAACTAAAAGGCAAAACAGCCACTTAGCATCAAAATGGCAGTATCAAATTCACACATAACAATATTAACCCTAAATGTCAATGGACTAAATGCACCAATCAAAAGACACAGACTGGCAAATTGGATAAAAATCCAAAACCCATCAGTGTGCTGTATCCAGGAAACCCATGTCACATGCAAGGATACACAAAGGCTCAAAATAAAGGGATGGAGGAAGATTTACCAAGCAAATGGAAAGCAAAAAAAAGCAGGAGTTGCAATTCTCATCTCTGATAAAATAGACTTTAAAGCAACAAAGATCAAAAGAGACAAAGAAGGCCATTACATAATGGTAAAAGGATCGATACAACAAGAAGAGCTAACGATCCTAAACATATATGGACCCAACACAGGAGCACCCAGATACATAAGGCAAGTTCTTAATGACTTACAGAAGGACTTAGACTCCCACACAATAATAGTGGGAGACTTTAACACTCCACTGTCAATACTAGACAGATCAACCAGACAGAAAATCAACAAGGTTACCCAGGGCTTGAACTCAGACCTGGAACAAGCAAACCTGGTGGACATTTACAGAACTCTCAACCCCAAATCCACAGAATACACATTCTTCTCAGCACCACATCACACCTACTCTAAAATTGACCACATAATTGGAAGTAAAGCACTGCTCAACAAATGCAAAACAACTGAAATCATAACAAACAGCCTCTCAGACCATAGTGCAATCAAGTTAGAACTCAGAATTCAGAAACCGACCCAGAACCGCACAGCTTCATGGAAACTGAACAACTGGCTCTTGAATGTTGACTGGGTAAACAACGAAATGAAGGCAGAAATAAAGAAGTTCTTCGAAACCAATGAGAATGAAGACACAACGTGCCAGAACCTCTGGGACACATTTAAAGCAGTCTCTAGAGGAAAGTATATAGCAATAAGTGCCCATATGAGGAGAATGGAGAGATCCAAAATTGACACCCTATCGTCAAAATTGAAAGAGCTAGAGGAGCAAGATCAAAAAAACTCAAATCCCAGCAGAAGACAAGAAATTACTAAGATCAGAGCTGAGCTGAAGGAGATTGAGACACGAAAAACCCTTCAAAAAATCAATAAATCCAAGAGCTGGTTTTTTGAAAAGATCAACAAAATAGACAGACCACTAGCCAGATTGATTAAAAATAAAAGAGAGAACAACCAAATAGATGCTATAAAAAATGATAAAGGGGAAATCACCACAGATTCCACAGAAATTCAAACCATCATCAGAGAATATTACAAACAACTATATGCGCATAAACTAGTAAACCTGGAAGAAATGGATAAATTCCTGGACTCCTGTGTCCTCCCAAGCCTAAACCAGGAGGAAGCTGAAACTATGAATAGACCAATAACAAGGTCTGAAGTTGAGGCAGCAATTAAGAGCCTACCACACAAAAAAAGCCCAGGTCCAGACGGGTTCACAGCCGAATTCTACCAGACACACAAGGAGGAGCTGGTACCATTCCTTCTAAAACTATTTCAAACAATCCAAAAAGAGGGAATCCTTCCCAAATCATTTTATGAGACCAACATCATCCTGATACCAAAAACCGGCAGAGACCCAACGAGAAAAGAAAACTTCAGGCCAATATCCATGATGAACATAGATGCAAAAATCTTCAATAAAATATTGGCAAGCCGATTGCAACAGCAAATCAAAAAACTTATTCATCATGATCAAGTAGGATTCATCCCGGGGATGCAAGGCTGGTTCAACATACGCAAGTCTATCAACGTAATTCACCACATAAACAGAACCAAAAACAAAAACCACATGATTATCTCAATTGACGCAGAGAAGGCATTTGACAAAATTCAACAGCCCTTTATGCTAAAAACCCTCAATAAACTCAGCATCGATGGAACGTATCTCAAAGTAATAAAAGCTATTTATGACAAACCAACAGCCAATATCATACTGAATGGGCAAAAACTGGAAGCATTCCCTTTGAAATCTGGCACTAGACAAGGATGCCCTCTCTCACCACTCCTATTCAATATAGTACTGGAAGTTCTAGCCAGAGCAATCAGGCAAGAAAAAGAAATACAGGGTATTCAAATAGGAAAGGTGGAAGCCAAATTGTCTCTATTTGCAGACGACATGATAGTATACCTAGAAGACCCCATCGCCTCAGCCCAAAAACTCCTGAAACTGATAAGCAACTTCAGCAAAGTCTCAGGATATAAAATCAATGTGCAAAAATCACAAGCATTCGTCTACACCAATAACAGACTTAAAGAAAGCCAAATCAAGAGCGAACTGCCATTCGCAATTGCTACAAAAAGAATAAAATACCTTGGAATACAACTCACAAGGAACGTAAGGGACCTCTTCAAGGAGAACTACAAACCACTGCTCAACGAAATCAGAGAGGACACAAACAGATGGAGAAACATTCCATGTTCATGGTTAGGAAGAATTAATATCGTGAAAATGGCTATACTGCCCAAAGTAATTTACAGAATCAATGCTATCCCCATCAAGCTACCATTGACTTTCTTCACAGAACTGGAAAAAACCACCATGAACTTCATATGGAACCAAAAGAGAGCCCGCATAGCCAAGTCAATTCTAAGCAAAAAGAACACGGCGGGGGGCATCACACTACCGGATTTCAAACTATACTACAAGGCTACAGTAATCAAAACAGCATGGTACTGGTACCAAAACAGAGATATAGACCAATGGAACAAAACAGAGGCACCGGAGGCAACACAACATACATACAACTATACAATCTTTGATAAACCTGACAAAAACAAGCAATGGGGCAAGGATTCCATGTTTAACAAATGGTGTTGGGAAAACTGGCTAGCCATGTGCAGAAAGCAGAAACTGGACCCCTTCCTGACACCTTACACTAAAATTAACTCCAGATGGATTAAAGACTTAAACATAAGACCTGGCACCATAAAAACCCTAGAAGGAAATCTAGGCAAAACTATCCAGGACATAGGAGTAGGCAAGGACTTCATGAACAAAACACCAAAAGCATTGGTAACAAAAGCCAAAATAGACAAATGGGACCTAATCAAACTCCACAGCTTCTGCACGGCAAAAGAAACAGTCACTAGAGTGGATCGGCAACCAACAGAATGGGAAAAAATTTTCGTAGTCTACCCATCTGACAAAGGGCTGATATCCAGAATTTACAAAGAACTCAAACAGATTTACAGGAAAAAAACAAACAAGCCCATTCAAAAGTGGGCAAAGGATATGAACAGATACTTTACGAAAGAAGACATATATGAGGCTAACAATCATATGAAAAAATGCTCATCGTCACTGGTCATCAGAGAGATGCAAATCAAAACCACATTGAGATACCATCTCACGCCAGTTAGAATGGCGATCATTAAAAAATCTGGAGACAACAGATGCTGGAGAGGATGTGGAGAAAAAGAAACACTTTTACACTGTTGGTGGGAGTGTAAATTAGTTCAACCATTGTGGAAGAAAGTGTGGCGATTCCTCAAGGCCTTAGAAATAGAGATTCCATTTGACCCAGCAATCCCATTACTGGGTATATATCCAAAAGACTATAAATCGTTCTACTATAAGGACACATGTACACGAATGTTCATTGCAGCACTGTTTACAATAGCAAAGACCTGGAATCAACCCAAATGCCCATTGTTAATAGACTGGATTGGAAAAATGTGGCACATATACACCATGGAATATTATGCAGCAATCAGAAATGATGAGTTCGTGTCGTTTGTAGGGACATGGATGAATCTGGAGAATATCATCCTCAGCAAACTGACACAAGAACAGAAAATGAAACACCGCATATTCTCACTCATAGGTGGGTGATGAAAAATGAGAACACATGGACACAGAAAGGGGAGTACTAAACACTGCGGTCTATTGGGGGGAAAAGGGGAGGGCCAGTGGGAGGGGGCGGTGGGGAGGGATAGCCTGGGGAGAAATGCCAAATGTGGGTGAAGGGGAGAAGAAAAGCAAAGCACACTGCCATGTGTGTACCTACGCAACTCTCTTGCATGCTCTGCTCATATACCCCAAAACCTATAATCCAATAAAAAAAAATAAATAAATAAATAAATAAATATAATTCTGAATTTTGGAAAACCTAGAAAAAGCGTTACAGAAGAGCAGAAGTCCACTTCCAAGCGGAACACAGTGCTATTGAATTGTACAGTTTACCTCTTCCGAGGCATATCCTGTAGGTGCCTACTTCATTTAATTGCATTGTGTGTGCTATATTGCTTTTCCCCTACCCACGACATCATGGACTCTGGCTTCTGAATCCTAGACGGTCAGAGTGGGACAAATATGTAGAGATAATGGTCAGAGAAGAACTTTCTTGCTTGGAATTGCTATGATCTGTGGTGGTTTCTTCTGCTGTAATGTCTAAAGCTGGCTCTTTCAGGATGTAGTAGATCGTTAATGCGGACTAGTTCCGTTATCATTCAAAACAACTTGTTGTAGCTATACGATGTTTTTTATAAGCTATATGGTAACTGCAAAGCAAAAACCTATAATAGATATGCTAAAACTAAAGCACGAAGAATCAAAAGACACTACTAGAGAAAAACACAAATACAAACTCTAAAAGTGAAAGAACAGGGAAAAAAATCTACAAAACAAGTAACAAAATGGAAGTGCTCAGCCCTTACCTATCAATAATTACCTTGAAAGTAAATGAATTAAGTTCTGCAGTTAAAGACAGAGAGTGGTTGAATGGTTATTTATTTATTTATTTTTACTTAAAATGGCTCCGGGTCAGCTCCTGCTTCCAAAGAGCCCACAGATGGTCTACAAGAGAAACGCGTATCCCTGCCTCTGTGTCCCTCCAGTGTGCTTATTCATTTATCACCTTCTCTGTCTCTCCTCTGGCTCCTCAGGAGATAGCCACTGTTTCTTACCTTAAGTTTCTCATAATTGTGTCAGGCATCACAACGCTGTGCTCCCAGATAGAGCTGCCAAGCAGGTAGTCTTTTTGAGCCTTACTCTCCAGCAAAGGGAAAATTCTTCATAGTAGTAGTGTTGGGGAGAAGAGAAAGGGCACTTACAGCATACTGTCAGCTCTGAGAAAAGGAATTATTTCCCTAATTTTCAAGCTTTCGTTCTTCTATGTTCAATGCTTATATACCATTGAGTTTGATGACTGATTCAGGTTGTTTTCCTGTCATTATCAACCATATGCTTGAAGACTTGGACAAAAGAATGACTGACAGGAGTCCTGTTCTTATAAAATGTCATGCAATTATTTGGGATAACTCTAAGATCGCCATCTTTAAAACAAAGTACTTCACAAATCGTACTGAGTCTTTATTTCTTAACAGTGACCAACAATGGCCTGGGCCAATATGATACTCAACTGCAGGATGTAGGCTCTAAACCTTATGACATGTCTTTTCCATTTTGTCCACTACAGATTTGCAAACACAGTATCTTTTTATGGTATCATGATCAATCTTCAGCATGTGGGGAGCAATATTTTCCTGTTGCAGGTACTTTTTGGAGCTGTCACTCTCATATTCCGAGGTCTTGCTCTTTTCACACTAAATCATATGGGCCGTCGAATAAGCCAGATATTGTTCATGTTCCTGGTGGGCCTTTCCATTTTGGCCAACACGTTTGTGCCCAAAGGTGAGAGAAGAGTGGACTTTGGGGGAAAGAAAGTGCCTTCTCTTCATTCTTCAGGAATTGTATTGGTCACACTTGCCTAAAACCAGGAATAACGAGGGGTGCCATTTAAAGGCTGCATATTTCCACCAAGCAATATGAGCATGTAATACAGATTTGGCTAAGAATTGAGAAAAAAGCCAGGGGCAGCTCATATGTGCATTTATCTTCATCAACTCTGAAAGTAGCTAGATAGTGGTGCCATTCATTCCTGGCAGTTTCTCTAGGACATCAACTGATCACGTGCCCTTTGGTTAATCACACTTTTGATAACAAGCATGGCATGTCTAGGCCTTGCAATTGCATCCCATTTGAGCACACGATATGATTGCTTCCTTTGTGTGGGCTCTGTCTAGGTTCTTCCTCATTACTCTGTCTTCACTGACCAGTCTACTCACTGATACCTGCGTAGCCACACTTGGGTGTGATGTTAAGTCACCATGACTGCAGCCCTGGATTGTGGGAAATCTTTTTGACTTTAATGAAATAGAAATCCTTTGTTTTCAAGCAGAGAACAAATATTTGGTAGGAACAACAAACTAGGCAGATTAAAAGCCCATTTCCCTCCCTGTTAGACTATTTTATAAGTTAACACAATGATTATACATAATGATTAGGGGAAACTTAGTAGGCATTATGCCCTCCCTGCTTCCGAATACAAGAATGTATTTTACCACATAATAGATTGGGGAACTCGACTCCTCTTTCTGAATATTATCAATAATGTATATTTCCTGTCTTACATTAGAGCACTTTCTAATCTTATAAAGGTATGATTCTATTTCTTTTTACATTAGGCAGAAAACATTCTCTGAAACTTCCTTTTAATGGCTTCCAAATTCTGAATTCATTTTTCCCCAAATAGAAGTTCTATTTCTTGCTTCCTTATGCCTGTCATCAGTCTGAAGCTAGCCTCTCTTTACTCTGCCCCGGAACAAAGGAGATTTTTCATTAGTCTCTTGTGATATACCAACTCCATGACAATACAGCATCTGCACTAGGTTGACTGAGTTATCCAGATTTACCTGGGACTTTCTTGGTTTTATCAATAAAATTTTCACATCACTAAAATCCCTTCATCCCTGGGAAATCAAAGATGGCTGGTCACTTTAAATTCTGCACTTTATTTGTAAAGTTCTCAAGTTTAGTGCTGAGTCTCAGACTCCTCAGTAATTGTCCACATGATGGTTCTACCTTCTATAGAAAGGGCATAGCAAGTACTGGACAGACTAAGTAAGAAAAAATTTCCGCTAGACTCATCTTTTCCCCTCCCTCTCTGAAAAATCTTAAATATGCAGGGGAATTTCCTGCATTAATCCAGATAATTTTATGCATTTTTGTCACCTAAGTTGATAATTCTAAGCTGATAATTTATCAGCTTATCAACCACTGGGTGTTCTCTGTCACTGTTCAAGTCTCTACAGTATTTTTCAAACATGCAAATACTCAATAGGTTGTTTTTAAATTACGTTTGGTAGATGTTGCTTCCTTTAGCCCAGATCTCGGAGTCTCACTGGTCTCCTCGATTTTCCAGAAATGCAGGTCCTGCGTGTGGCTTTGGCATGTGTGGGAATCAGCTGTTCTGCTGCTGCTTTTTCCAGTCGTGCTGTTCACTTCATTGAACTCATCCCCACTGTTCTCAGGTATAAGAGATATGGATGCTCCACCAGAGCCCAAAATAAGAGTTTCCCACCAAACACTTACTGAGGGACTAAAACTGAGACATGTTTATTATTATGAAAGCAATCATTTATGATACTAATAATATACTAACAAAAATTATGGCCAATAAGTTTTGTTTATTATGGTTTATTGCAAGATGGCTTTGTGCCATCTACTGTGCTGGGCAGTATTTTAATGCATCATCTCACTAAACTTTTGGACCACTCATCAGGGTAGGTGTAATGTGTAACAGTCTGTTTAAAATGATGAAACGGAATCGTAACTCACATTGAATCTGATTTAAAAGAGCTAGAAAATCATAGAGAAAATCTCAAAAGCAACTGTTTGCCCATTTTAATGATTGTGTTTTATTGTCTCCCGTATTTAAGTCAAAATAATATGTCACAAATTACATGTGTAGATTTTTTTCTGATTATCATGTATTGTCATTTATCTTTAGGGCAAGAGCTTTAGGAATCGATTTAATGACTAGTAGGATTGGAGCAGCACTGGCTCCCCTCTTGATGACCTTAACGGTATTTGTTACCACTTTGCCATGGATCATTTATGGAGTTTTCCCCATCATTGCTGGTATTGTTGTCTTCCTCCTACCGGAAACCAAGAATCTGCCTCTGCCCGATACCATCAACGGTGTGGAAAATCAGTGAATCAATCTTCTAGCCATGTCCTGAGAGAAGCAGTGTACTCTAGATCTGTGATAAGAGATGACAAACACCATATGTATCCTTGGGGTTACTATGAAAGCTTAGCCTTTCCTGAGCTACTTCCACTTGGGCCATTGCCTTTCATTAGCAGCAGGTCAGCTCTATCCATTCTGAATTCCAACTCTAGATTACAGAGACACCCTCACTGGTGGTTTTAGTGATAAAGAGACAAAAGTGAACTATGTTGTGATGTCACATACTACCTTTTCTCATGAAAGATACACACTCATGATGGTACCTAATGATTCTCGTACTCATAGAGCTTGGGATATAGTGGGGAAAGAAACAAAATAGTGAAGGAAGACTCTCACAAAGAGTAAAGATTCTCCTTGAAAAGATAATAAAGAAGATAAATCTTGTCCAGCTGCCTGGGAAATTCAGTCAGTCTTGCTGCCACAAGTAATAGAAGGATTTAGGATAGAGAAAATGAACTAGGAAAAATTATTTTTATTTAATTTTAATTTTTGTTTCATTTTATTTGTGTATTTAAAGACAGAGTTTCCTCTGTCACCCAGGCTGGAGTGCAGTGGGGCAATCACAGCTCACTGAAGCCACGCCTTCCTGGTTTCAGGTGATTCTCTCACCTCTGACTCTCAAGTAGCTGAGACCACAGGTGCATGCCTCTACACATGGCTAATTGTATTTTTAGTAGAGATTGGGTTTCACTATGTTGCCCAAGCTGGTCTCAAACTCCTGGGCTCAAGCAATCCACCTGCCTTGACCTTTTATTTTGTTTTTAATTGACTCAAAGTAATTGTACATATTATGGGGAACAGAGTGATGTTTTGATACATATAAATCTATAATCTTAAACACTTATCATTTATTTGTGGTGAGACCCTTCAAATCCTTTCTTATAGCTCTTTTGAAATATATAATATGATATTGTTAGTTATGGACACCTTACTGTGCCATGGAACACTAGAACTTATTTATCCTATCAAACTGTAACCTTGTACCTGCTGATGAACCTCTCCCTGTCTCCCCCTACCTTCTTCCTTCCCTAGCCTCTGACAACCACTATTCTACTATCAACTTCTATGAAATCAACTTTTCAAAGATTCTACATATGAGTGAACTCATGCAGTATTTGTCATGTGCTTCTCTTATTTCACTTAACATGGTTAATCCATGTTGTCATTAACATGCCATAATCCATGTTAAGTGGACAAGATTTCATTCTTTTTTTATGGTCATATTGTATTTCATTGAATATATATATACATATATATTCAATGAAATGTAATATATATATACATATATATTCAATGAAATATAATTTATATTCAATATATATATTGATATATATATCACACACACACACACACACACACACATATATATATATATATATATATTAAAAAGTTTTCAAAATCTACTTATCTGTTGATGGTCACTTAGGTTAATTTCATATCTTCCCTATAGTGAATAGTGCTGCAGTAAACATGGGAGTGCATCTATTTCTTTGACAGAGTGTTTCATTTCCTTTGGATATATACCAAGTAGAGAGATTGCCAGATATTATGGTGGTTAACTTAATTTGTTGAAGATTCTTCATACTGTTTTTCATAATGGCTGTGCTAATTTACATTTCTACCAGTCATGTATAAGTTCCTCTTTCTCTACATCTTCACTGTCATTGGTTATTTTTATGACTTTTTGTTAATAGCCATTCTAATTCGGGTGAGATGATATCTCATTATGGCTTCAATTTGTATTTTCTTGATGATTAGTGCTGTTGAAAAGTTTTTTCATATACCTTTTGGGCATTTATGTGTCTTCTTTTGTGAAATATCTATTCAGATCTTTTGCCCACTTTCAAATCACACTTTATTTTTTACTGTTGAGGTCCTTTTGTATTTTAGTTATTAGTCCCTTGTTAGATGCATCATTTGTGAATATTTTATTTCATTCTGCAGGCTGTCTCTTCATGTCGTTGATTGTTTTCTTTGCTGTGTAAAGGCTCTTTAGTTTGATATAATTCCATTTGTATATTTTTGCTATTTTGGTATTACTTCTTTAAATGTTTAGTAGAATTCACCTGTGAAGCCATCAAGTCCTGGACTTTTCTTTGATGGGAGACTTTTTATTATTGATTTAGTTTCCATATTCTTTTATTGGCCTGTTGAGGTTTTCTAATTCTCCACGATTCAGTCTTAGAAGGTTTGTGTGTGTCTAGGAATTTATCTGTTTTTTTTTTTCTGTTTTCCAATGTTTTGCTTTATATTTGTTCGTAATAGTCTCTAAGGATCCTATTTGTGATATCAGATGTGATGTCTTCTTTGTCATCGCTAATTTTATTTATTCGAGTCATCTCTCTTTTTTCTTAGTCTGGCTAAGGCTTTGTTGATGTTGTCTTTTCAAAAAACAAATTGTGCTGATCTTTTGTATTTTTGTCTCTTTTATTTATCCTGCTCTGATATTTATTATTTCCTTTTTCTAATTTTGATTTTAGTTTGTTTTTGTTTTTCTAGTTCCTTTACGTGTAATATGTTTGTTTACTTGAGATCTTTAAATTTTTGATGTAGACATTTAATGCTACAAAATTCCCTCTTAGAATGGCTTTTGCTGTATCCTATAGGTTTTGGTATGTTATGTTTGCATTTTCTATTTTTTTTTTTTTTTGAGACAGAGTTTCGCTGCTGTTACCCAGACTGGAGTGCAATGGCATGATCTCGGCTCACCGCAACCTCCACCTCCTGGGTTCAAGCAATTCTCCTGCCTCAGCCTCCCGAGTAGCTTGGACTACAGGTGCACACCACCATGCCCAGCTAATTTTTGTATTTTAGTAGAGACGGGGTTTCACCATGTTGACCAGGATGGTCTCCATCTCTTGACCTCATGATCCACCCACTTCAGCCTCCCAAAGTGCTGGGATTATAGGCGTGAGCCACCGCGCCCAGCCTATGTTTGCATTTTCATTTGCCTCAAGGACTTTTTAAATTTTGTTTTTATTTTTTCATTGACCCAATGATTGTTTCGGAGCATGTTGCTTAATTTCCACATATTTGTACAGTTTCTGAAGTTTTTTGTGTTACTGATTTCTGGTTTTATTGCATTCTGGTCAGAAAATATATTTGATATTATTTTGATTTTTAAAAATTTGTTGAGATTTGTTTTGTGGCCTAACATATGATTTAACCTGAAAAATGTTCTGTGTGCTTCTGAGACGAATATGTCTTGTGCAGCTGTTGGATGAAATGTTCTGTGATTTTGGATCTAGGATGTGATTTAATTTCAATGTTTCTTTGTTGATTTTCTATCTGGATGATATGTCCATTGCTGAAAGTCTCCTATTATCATTTTATGCAGCCTATCACTTCATTTAGGTCTATTAATATTTGCTCCATATATTTAGGTGCTCTGATGTTGGAACATATATATTTATAATTGTTTTATCCTATTGCTGTATTGAACCCTTAACTATTATGATTGGTCTTATCTCTTTTTGCAATTTCTGGCAAAAAAAAAACCTGCAAAAAGAAACAAGACCATAATGTTTATTTTATTTGATGCAAGCATAGCTACTCCTATCCTTTTTTTAGTTTCCATTTGCAAGAAATATTTTTCTCCTTTTGTTCAATTTAAGTTTATGTGTGTCCTTATAGTTGAAATGAGTCTCTTATAGACAGCATATAGTTAAGTAAAAAAATTCATTCGATCACTCTATGTCTTTAATTTCAGAATTTAATCCATTTACATTCAGGGTAATTATTAATAGGTGAGGGTTTAACACTGCCATTTTGTTACTTGTTTTCTACTTGTTTTGTAGATTTTTTCCCCCTTTCTTTCACTTTTACAGTTTTTATTTGTGGTTTTCTCTAGTAGTATCTTTTAATTCTTTGTGTTTAGTTTTAGCATATCTATTATAGGTTTTTGCTTTGCAGTTACCACAAAACTTATAAAAAACGTTGTATAGTTATAACAAGTTATTTTAGATGACAGCAAGTTGACACTGATCACAATGAGAAGAGAAGAAACAAGATCATCTGGTACAACTTACCTCTTCTTCCACCTTTTGATTTTTGTCATGATTTACACCTTTATTTTGCTATCTCTTAACAAATTATTGTAGTTATTATTTTTGATAGTTTTTCCTTTTAGTTTTCATACTAAAGATATAAGTGGTTTACATGCCACAACTACAGTACTAGAGTAACAATCACATTAGGGCCCTTTTCTTTAACTTCAAAAAACTCTGCTTAGCATTTCTTATAGAACAGTTACGATAATGAATTCCCTCAGCTTTTTTCTTTGCCTGGAAAGTCTTTATTTCAACCCATTTCTAAAATATAGCTTTTCTGGGTACGATATTCTTGGCAGTCTTTTTCTTTTTTTTTTAGGCCTTTAGCATTCTGCAGATATCATCTCAATCCTTTCTGACCTGCAAAATTTCAACTACAAGTCGGCTTCCAGGCATATTGGATCTCCCTGATATATGATTTGCTTCTTTTTTTTCTTGGTGCTTTCAATTTCTCTATTTGCCTGCTCTTTGTGAATTTATCATAATGTGTCTTGGGATATTCTTGTTTGGGTTTAATCTGATTGGTGACAAGAAATAATGTTTAAATAATAAAAATAGCATATTCACTTCTTATGTCTTTCATAACAAAGTATCACAAACTTAGGGACTTAAAAAAAAGAAATTTATTGTCTCACAGTCCTGGAAGCTGGAAGTCTGAGATCATTTTATTGTAAAGGACTTGACCTCTACAAAGGCTATAGGGAAGAATCTATTCCAGACCTTTCTTCTCACTTCTGGTAGATCCTTGGATATAGTTTTCCAGCCCTAATCTTCACATGGAATCTTCCCCATGTATGTGTCTCTGCATTCAAAATCCCCTCAACTTTTTTCTTTTTCTTTTTCTTTTTTTTTTTTGAGACGGAGTTTTGCTCTTGTTACCCAGGCTGGAGTGCAATGGCGCAATCTCAGCTCACTGCAACCTCCGCCTCCCAGGTTCAAGCAATTCTCCCACCTCAATCTCCTGAGTAGCTGGAATTACAGGCACCTGTCATCATGCCAAGCTAATTTTTGTATTTTTGTAGAGACAGGGTTTCACCATGTTGATCAGGTTGGTCTTGAATTCCTGGCCCCAGTGATCCATCTGTCTCAGTCTCCCAAACTGCTAGGATTATAGGCATGAGCCACCATGCCTGGCCTAAAATTTCCCCTTCTTATAAAGGCACCAGTCATACTGAGTGGGGGTCCCACCCTACTCCAATATGAACTCATCTTAACTGGTTACATCTGCAACAACCCTGTTTCTGAGTAATGTCACATTCTGAGGTATTTAGAGTTAAGACTTCAATATATAAATTACTTTGGTGGGGAGGCACAATTTAACCCACAATTAATGGTGAGTTTTCATAAATTGTTTAAATTCACCCCTTAACTTTCAAAGATGTCCTTTACCAGGGGTCTAAAA